CAAACACTTAGTGGAAGTTATGATAATATTGGTATTATTTATGAGAGCTCATCAGCTGTGGTACATGACCCGATGATGCTCCACAGCCCTTTAGAAACCAAGCCAAAGTTGTGGATGAGCACATGCATGCGAGTGCAAAACTGCATTTGTGAAAACAGCACACCTATGTGCAAAGCCAATCCCCTCTCTCCCCACATTGCCTTCACTGCTTTTGCTGGCCCCTGATCTGTAAAGACCACTGATTTAGGAGACAGGAATGACTGAATCCATTCTTCTTTCTTTTGTCCTAATAGGAGCTTTCATTCAAAAATATTTTCAGAGATTTACAAAAGCTTAATGATGAATTCCAGCCTGGGAGATCTGGATGCTACAGAAAACTATTATATCTGTAACAATACCAATGACCTATATGTGTACTCAGAAGGGGTCACCCCTTCTGATTTAGGACAGAAAGTATGGATAAGCATTTTTTTAATAACTTGCTGTTTTGGATTTGTGGGCAATGGCTACATCATCTGGCTACTTGGCTTCCAGATTAAGAGAAACTGTTTCACCACATTCATCCTTCACTTGGCCATTGCAGACTCTGGGTACCTCGCATCTGTGTTTATATATAGTATTCTTACATTTACCAATTTTCAAGCAAGTGAAATATTCTATCACTTCAATGTCTATTTCGCCCTTGTGATGTTCACCAATGCAAACTTTCTTCTGACTGCCATCAGCATTGACCGGTGTGTGGCTGTCCTCTTCCCAATCTGGCATCGTTGCTCCCGGCCAAAACATTTATCCTTCAGTGTCTGTGTCCTCCTGTGCATCTCCTCTTTCCTCCTGAGTGGAATTATTAGTGTTATGCAAATCTTGGTAAACTACAAGGTGGCTGTTCTCCATTTTCTTCTGATTCCTATAGTTTGCTTTCCGTTGATCACAGTCTCTACTGCAGTCCTTTTCGTCAAAGTGTGCCTTAAATCGAATCAGAAGAATCAGAGTCGGCTTTTACTGATGATTTTAATTACTCTTCTCTTTAATTACTCTTCTCTCTAATTACTCTACTCTTCTCTGTTTCCTCATCCTTGCTTTCTCGTTATGTGTCTTTGCAGTGATTATTAGTTTTTCAAGTACCAAAGTTGACAATAGACTGGAACATTGGACTATGTGTAGTATAATATTTTCCTGCATAAACAGCAGTATTAATCCCGTGATCTATTTTCTAGTTGGGAGGAAAAAAAGGAGCTCAGTCCAAGGAGAGCATGAAGGTCATTTTGCAAAAGGTCTTCAAAGAAGCGGAAAGGAGTGGAAGGAGATAGAAGAGCTCAAACCCTCTTACAAGAACTCTGTGCTTCTTTCTGAATAGCAATGAATGATTTTTCACTTGAGACTGTCATCTTCTAGGTGGGAGCAAATCACTTTCAACATATCAGCTCTTTCATCTTAATAAACATACAAAGAATTGCCTTTGAAGAGATGTCTATACCAGTCCACAACTAATGTTGTGTAGGACATGAACTGCATGACATTTGTAAGATACTCAGCTTCTTTCTTGAAATAATATGTTTACAAATACAGGGGAAGCACCAGCCACACCTGCTGTTTCCAGATTTCACCTAAAGGCAGTTAATTTGTGAAATGAAGCAACAGTAAGAAAAACAGATAGAACCAGTCAGAAATCAGTTCAGTATTGTGGTAATATATCCATCATATTCTGCAAGTTCTTGTACAGCTTTGTAAGATCTGGGGGTATCACAAACGCTCCTCATGAGGGCAGTAGTGTCTTTATGATGAGAGTTTGATCCTGTTATGGTCTGCTAAGCTCAGAGGCCAGGAATGTGCGTGGGAGTTCACAGTACCTAGCCGAGCCATTTCCATGAGACCTTTGGTGCCCTGCTTTCTCACGGGAACTTTATCACCTTCGCTGAGGCCTAGCTAGATAATGCTGCTGAGCTAATGTTGAAGTCATTGTTTTGATTTTGTATTTGCATTTTCTTAATAAATACTGCTACCCGAGGGCTCTCGGGGCTGGCAGTTGCTCAGACGTCTTCCCTGCGTCTCCCATTTTTTCAATTGCCAGTCCACCACAGCACTATATGGTGAAATTCAACAGAGCTACTGCCCTGGGATAGAAGCTATTTTTCAGCCTATTTGTCCTTGTTTTTATTATCCTGCACCGTCTGCCAGATGGTAATAGTTTAAAAAAAAAAAGGGTTCCCAGGATGAGACTCTTTTGAACTTTCTTCAGGCAGCAGGAGCTATAAAGCTTTTCCAGAGAGGGGAGAGGGCAACCCATGATTCTGGGCAATGACATTAACTCTTTGGAGCACTGTCCCATCTGCCACTGTGCAATTGGCAAACCATATACAGTAAGTTAAAATACTCTCTATGGTGCAGGGGTAGAAGCAGGGGTGGGATCCGACAGGGTTAACTACCGGTTCGGTGATTTACGATGTGTTTCCCTGCACGCTGCGTGCATGCCTGTAAATTGTCATCAGCTTGCTGCCTGGACAGTTCAGCAGCTGTGAGTGCTTCTCAGCGTTTGAAACAGCACTTTTTTTCCTGCTTTTTTAACCGCAGCTGTGCCTTGCACAGCAGCTGAGGTTGAAAAAGCAGGAAATAAAGGTCAGGTAAGAGCCCGGGCAGGTGGGTGGGCCAAAACGTCAGCAGACATAGAACTGGTTCTTTGTCTGCTGCTCTTCAGAGCTACTGGTTCTACAGAGCTGAACAGAACTGGTAGAATCCCACCCCTGGGTAGAAGGTCAAATTCAGTAATGAACATTAAGGCTTTAACCTCTTACTAAAATGGCAAAGAGCAAGAGAGACCGTTTTCAAGCATACTTCAATCCTTGGGAGCAACCGAAGAGAAAAATAGTCCACAGGTGAAATCTGAAATCCATCTGAAGGATGGAAAGATGGCTAGTTAAGCAGGGAAGCAGCTACAGCTGGGTACAACAGGTCCTTAGCCATTCTACAAATCTGCAGGGAAAGAGTTCTACTTGGGTTCCTTGGTGCTCTCAGAGTTTGATTGCTTGTTTGAAGACGTTTTGTTACTTTGCTAGGTAACATCATCAGTGCTAGAAGGGTTTGATCTTTGTTTATAAGTACAATAGCTTCCCTGCCAGTGTTGGTGGGAGTGTTGGTAGTTGCTTGATTATGTTTACTGTTTGATGGTTTTTCTGAGTTTGTAATTCCTTGACTAGAGCTTTTTTTTTTTTAAAGATTCACTGCAGAGCATGGCAAATATAAACGTTTACTGTATGGTTTCAAAGAGGGGCTAAATGCTTACAGATACTGCAGGTTGGTAGACACCAAGAAGAACAAAGTGAGAAAGCAGAGCTTTGTTGTTGTTGTTGTTATACACTTGTTTGTTTCCTTTTTCCTATTCTCAATGCATAAATTGTAATGAACAGTACAGCTACCTTATGGTTATCAGCAAAAACATATAGTTCATAATCAATATTCATGTATTTTTCTCTCTCTTTTACTGTTGTAGAGCGATGGTAATGAGAGGCTTAAACCAGAGCATACGAGTAACAGTCTTTATTCAGGGGAATAAAGGGTTGTCGCGTCTGCCCAGCTAACAGGCAGACTGCAAGCGAACAACGGCTGGCTCTGCCCGACAGCCGGCTTTTATAGCCGACTGTCAAACGGAGCCAACCAATGGGAGCTGCTGGTGCTCCCGCTCAAACAGCGGACCTGGTTGGGAACTCCAACCAGTCCCAAAGACATAACATTTACTTTAAAGATCTAAGTTATCTAAACAATGAAGTGTTAATAATCTCCAGTCCACAAGCTCTCCAGGGACATATTGAGGGTTAAGGGTTTCTGTTTCTGAGCTACTGAAGTTATTTATAATTGCTTCTGTTTGAGTTTGCTCCATGTTGGAGAAATCTACAATTGGTTTGTAAAATGTATTTCATGTATCTATAAAGATATTAAATGAAGCATCAGCCATCTGTGTTTATTTTTCTGGTGCTGAATTAATGCTGCAAAGCTCTAAAAAAAGTCATTTAATCAATATTGGTTGTTGGCATAATTCACATTATCCTGATCTGTCGAACTTGCAGTCTGCGGGCTGGATAAGACAATCCGATTCTTGTTTTTGCAAAATAATCACAAACTGTAGAATAAGGAGAGTACCCAACAGCTTTGGTTGTCAAATTCAGTTCTGAAGGAGAACCGAAGAAGCTTCTTGGCTAAAAAGCAAAACGTTTTCAAAGAAAAAAACCAAAATGCCAGAAAAAAAAAAGTTCAGTTGCCTTTTGTAAAAATCCAGTTGCCTTTTGGAAAAGCACTTTTGGGATTTGGTTAGAAAGGCATCTCCAGGCAAAGATGTTAAGCTTCATTATCCCATCCTGGTATTTCTAATGACCAAAGAGGCAAAATAAACATTAAAGAGAAGATAGTATCAAAACAAAAGAACAAGCTCTACAAATGAATCATTGTGATCAGCTGGCTCTCACACTTAGCGGTCAAAGTCCCATTTATCAGCTGGGAAATCCAACTGTCAGTGAAGTTTTGTTCTTTGGTCAATCAGCAAATAGTCTGCTTAATTAGAGCATCTTAAAAGAAATATAATCTGGATAACAGCTTACACTGTGACAAATGAATGCAAATAATTTCCTCTGTTTCCAGAAAGCTTTCTTTATAAGGAGATGCTATATTTCTGAACAGTTCTTCAAAATTTAACTCTGCCTGACTTGGCTTTTGGTTCCCTTGCCTTAGGACAAGGGTCTTCAAACTTGGACAGTTTAAGACATGTGGACTTCAACTCCCAGGATTCCTGAGCTAACATGACTGGAGGAGGAATTCTGGGAGTTGAAGTCCACAAGTCTTAAAGCTGTCAAGTTTGAAGACCCCTGCCTTAGCAGGCTCAAAGCAACTGTCTCTCTTTTACACTGACTGTTGGTGATTATCTGAAACAGACAAGGATAGTATCTTGGGAGGTCACATGGTGGTGGTTTCTGATTAGAAAATCCACAGTGTATGTGTGCATCTTTTAAACTTTCATGACAGAAGCAAAAGCTCTTCAGGTTTTCACAGGAGATCAATCCTCACCTGCTATGCTGGCCCTGAACCCTGTTCCTTTTCTAAAAACACATCTGAAGGTTTCTGCTCAGTTTCTGCTTCCAGGTACATCCAAATCTGCAGACAATTCTTTGAACCTTGTAATTCAAGATAGGGTAGATGGATTTCCCTTTTGTTGATGAATTTCATCTAAATAGGATTATGCCTGCAGGTCTTACCATCCTCAGTCACTGCAGACCCTTAATATGAAACAATAATCTTCCACTCAGAGACTTCGAAGAGTTTGGGACCACCACTTTCAGGTAAGTTACAATTTTGGAAGGTTTAATTAGATCCAGGGATATGCAAACAGAGCAATAGTAGCTGCATATTTATATGTTGACTGTCATGACAGCCTCAGTTGAGGTTTCCTGGTTTTCACACATTTTCCAACCTACTTTTAGCCATCATGACAGAACAATACAAATATGTCAGAAGCAAGCAATCTATTTTGAACCCAAAGTCAAGAGAATAAGATATTTCTTTAGCTTACCCATAAACATTTTTCATCAGTTTTGGCTCTTCAGTTCTGTAAAAAAACCATTCCATTTGTCTATCAACTGGGAAAGTTCCAGTTAATCACAGAAAGTTTGAACACATGCAGATGGGAAATCTTCTATACTTAAATAATGAAGAGCGGACCAACCTGGAACTAAGAAGATTGAAAAGAAATCCTAGGGGGTGACACGATAGCAGAATTTCAATATTTGAGGGGCTGCCACAAAGAAGAGGGTGTCAATCCACAACGCTCTTCTTAGATGTGGCAATAAACAGTTCAAGGAGTTGGCTCATTACTGCAGCTGCATCACTCAAACTAGAGATGGTCTTCAACAATTTTAGCTAAGGGTTCTCTGCCTGGTTGCTGGGTTGGTGCGGCCATGGTGGGTCTTGCCAAGTTGACCTCCTATACCACGGTGGAGGGGTGTTGAAAATGGCCTCCTCGGGCTCCACAGGCTCTCTGGAAGCCAGAAACAGGCCCATTTCTGGCCTTCCTGAACTTTGTGCATGCCCTGCACTTACCTGTATCCAAAACAGGCCACGTGGGGATTCCTGGGAGGGGTGGGGTGGGGTGGGCAGAGCCAGCCAGGAATGGGATTAGGGGGTTTTCTAAACTGCTCAGAATCTTAGCTAGGAGCTCTCCCGAACCCTTGCGAATCCCCAGCAGCCCACCCGTGGCTCAGACTATTCACAGGGAAAGAGGAATAATAATAACAGAATTGGAAGGACTTTGGAGGTCATCTAGTCCAACTCTGTGATCAAGCAAGAGATCCTATACCATTCAGAACAAATGGTTGTCCAATCTCTTCTTAAAAACCTGCAGTGAGGGAGCACCCATAGCTTCTGAGGATGAGCTGATCTACCTGTTTATTGTCCTGTCAGGAAATTTCTCCTTACTTCTGAGTTAGTTCTCTCCTTGATTAGTCTTGATCCATTGCTTCTCCTTCTGCCCTCAGGTGCTTTGAAGTACAGGTTGACAGCGCCTTAGATACTAGAAGCTATGACAATATTGGTATTATCCAGGAGACAGGAATGATTGAATCCACTCTTCTTTCTTTTCTTCCGTTAGGAACTTCCTAAAGGATTGTCAGACGATTATAAAACCTTAATGATGAATTCCAGCCTGGGAGATCTGGATGCTACACAGAACGATTATGAATATAACATTACCAGTGATTCATATGTGTATGAAGATGGGATCATCCTTTCTGATTTAGGATGGAATATATGGATAAGCATTTCTTTAATTATCTATTGTATTGGATTTGTGGGCAATGGCTACATCATCTGGCTACTGGGGTTCCAGATTAAGAGAAACCGTTTCACCACATTCATCCTTCACTTGGCCATTGCAGACTCTGGATTCCTCGCCTCTATGGTTATACATAAAATACATTTATTTACCTATTCCCTAAGAAGCAACATACTCTTCCTTTTCTGTGCCTTTTTCTCCCACATGATGTACATCAACGCAAACTTTATTCTGACAGCTATCAGCATTGACCGGTGTGTGGCTGTCCTCTTCCCAATCTGGCATCACTGTTCCCGGCCAAAAGGTTTGTCCTCCATGGTGTGTGTCCTCCTGTGGATCTCCTCTTTCCTCTTGACTGGAAGTATTGTGCTATTCACAAATGTCTTTGGAAAATACAACCTGTTTGGTCTCCATTTCCTTGTGACTGCTATAGTTTCCCTTCCATTGATCATACTCTCTACTCTGGTCCTTTTCATCAAAGTGTGTGTTAAACCTAAACAGAAGAATCAGGGTCGGCTTTTACTGATGATTTTAATTACTCTTCTCTGTTTCCTCATCCTTGCATTTCCATTAAATGTCCTTGTGGTTAT